CTGCTGGGATCCCGAGTTCTGCTGAGAGCTTTCCTGACCCTCCATGTCTGTCAGTATTCGACTTCTCTCTGTAGTGGGGGTCACACGGTGCACAGAGGAATCAGACTGACATAGGTTCAAATTCCAGCTCACCATAAGACTCTAGGACAGCTGTCTAACTTCCCTGAGCCTGTTTCCCCACTGGAAAAATAGCTCCTTTGCAGATTGGTGTGAGGATTATGACCCTAGCACAGTGTCTAGCACTGAGTAGGTGTTTAACAAATAATAGCTCTTGTTTCTGCTGATATGGTGTCCTGACCACTTTTTCATATTTAAGGAAATATTCCTTGTTAGAAACACGAATAGGATGCATCATATCAAATATTAGCCACCAGAAATAAACACCCTTACCGTTGAAGGTGGTGGAGCCTCTTCAGAACTGTTTAAGTTGGCTCAGTGAGGTCCAACTTGGTCTAGTGCAGATAAACCCCAGTAGGCAGGCTGGGATTTTGTCAGTGTTGCTTTCCTCAGTCCTCATTCTTTGGGCTTCCGTAGGCTTCAATACTTACAGTTTCACCTTCAGGCAGTTGCTTATTGACATGGCTGAGTCGGACACCCCCCCCCCCCCCCCGCACAGCTGAGGGCACTGCTCGCCCTGAAGCCGGGTCCACCCCTGCATTCCCCCGTCCTCTAAGGAGGAGCCTCAGAGGGGTCTGATTGGGCATCGGGATCCTCCTGTTGCTCCTTTAGCATGGTCCCATCTTCCCAGTAGTCATGCGCCCTCAAAAAGTCTCTCTCATTAGCTGCCTTCACTTAATTAAGCTCATTGCGTTTGCTAAGCCTTACTGGCTTCTCTAAGATGGCACGAGCCCATTACGCACGGCCCCTTCATCCGAAGGCGGGCTGGTGTGGGTTTCCGAGGCCGCCCCACAGACCCTAGGATTTCAGCAGTGGAAGGATTACTTTCCGTCCCTGTCTCACAACGAACTCCTCTGAAATTCCCAGCTCCTGGGGGACAGAGTCCCTTTCCAGATTCCCTCAGACACCTGGCATTTTCTTGGTGTCACTTGGTGTCACCTCAGACACTCAAACATTTCTTGGCCATATTGCGTTGCTTGGTTTGGATTTTTATTAATAGTAGGTTTGGTGACTCCAAAGTCCATGCTCCTCACTCTGGCATCTGAGCTTTTTGCTCCCGACTGGACTTCCCCTCAGCCTAGCCTCCTGTGAAACCTTCCATTTTCTTCAAGGGTCTGTTTAGGAGCCTCTTCTTCCAGGAAGCTCCCTTGATTTTCAGAAAGCCTTTTTCTTCCTATTTTCCCCTTACTCTGAATCATATGATACAGATATAGTATGGCTATACATGGAGCTGGGAAGTAGATGTCTTGATATGCCTACAGATGCGGCCTGAGTCACAGATACCGGTGTGTGCGTGCACGCGTATTTATGTGTGTATATGTATATATTCATGTTCATGTAACATGTATGCATATATACCTATGTACTCTACCTACCTAGTATTTCTAAACTGCGATGAAAGTTCTTCCATGCATTAGAGATTATTCTACATGTAGACATAATACTTCTAAAACCGGTTGCCTTTTATTTGACATACAGATCGTTTCCGCTTCTTCACTGTTGAGAACAATGCTCCCATGAGATAGTAGCTCACCTGCTGAGTGAGCAGCAGGGCACGCTGGACTTCGGGGCCAGATAGACCTGTGTTTGACCTCTCGTCCCCACCACGTCCTGGTGGCCTTGGACAAGCCATTTCACCTCTCTAATAAACTTAACTATGTAATAGAATAATAGTTCTCACCTCCGACGGGCCTAAGGCAGGTAACGTGCTTAGCGTTGGGCCTGGCACGGAGTAAGAGCTCAGTGACGACATTGCGCCACGCGGGGAGGCAGAAGAGAGGATTTGCTTTGGCTCTCCCCCGCTGCCCGGTGTGACCTTGTATATGGCTATTTCACGGGGTGTGACAAAACCCACCGAGACGATGGGTGACAGCCCTTTGCCAGTGAAATGCTGCCCAATTTAAGACTGTCTTATTCTTGTTGCTTTTACCTATTTTCTACAGGTTTGAGGAATATGTCACCTCAAGACTGAGCATGTGGAGAAGAATTGCTTTGCAATTTTATAGGTTTGGTGAAAATGATTCATGCCCGTTATCAGTGATTTAGACGACATCAAAAAGGCACAAAGTAAGACTCCAAATCCCACCATCAAGGAGTAACCACGGCCGCATGTTGGTTGTGGCCTTCTTTGACTTGCTCCCCCTGTGGTGCCCATGGCAGGACAGGGCAGGCTTCAGCTTTTTAATAAATGTCTCTTGACCTCAACCAGATTGAGTGGTTAACGGTGGCGTGCCCTGGCTCTGTCCCTCCCGGCCCACCTCTGACAGTTTCATTAACCCCATTAAATCACGAAGGTGCCTTTACACCTCCCGGGCTTGTTAATCTCCGCTCGGCTCTGGTAAGTTAAAACCTGGCGGGAAAGTTGGATGTACCTTGTTAACCTCCATTAAACCCTATTAAATTTCCTAACTAGAGTCTTAGTGACTTCTAGGAATCCCTCATTAAAGTTTAGTAAATCTACTTAGTAAATCCACTCTGGGACAAGGCTGACCGGCTCTCCTGCCTCAAAGTGTGGCATTCCTGAGTTCCCTGACATGTCCCTAGGACCAGATGACCCTTGGACCCAATCCCAGGAGTGCCTCTAGCTTTTTGACTCGGGCAAAGTTCCTCCTCTCCATGCCTGCATTTACACCTCTATAAACTGGAGTTAACAACAGTCCCTATTCTATATAATTGTAATGAGTGTAAATGAGTCAATGCGTGTAAAACCAGCAGTGTGTTGTCTGGTGGGCACGCTGCACTTGGCAGCTATTCTTGTTTCTAGATGGGAAAGATCCTTATAAACTAAAAAACGGTTAGGTTAATGGAAGATTCAACTGCAGACATTTATAGCGTTGCCTTCCACGCCGGGCAGGGTGCTCGGAACTGTGGATTATTTTCTTTCTGGTTTTATCCGGACTGAAGATGATCCATTGCAATGACTCCTCATAATAGTGTCCCTGTGGCTGTGCATGTCCTCGGATTTGTTCAGGCTCTGACACGTCTGAGCTGTTCCAGGTGGAACGCAGCTACTTTCTCTCCCTGGGCCTTGTGGGGTTGTGGTTCCTAAACTGGGATGTGCAGATAAATGCACCAGGTGATTTTGTAAAAATGGTTTCCTGGGCCCCAGGAAGATTGAGGAGCTCCTAGGTCTCACTGGGAACTCTGAGCTAGTATTCCCAACGAGGCTGAAGCTGCTGGATTGGGAAACCTCTGGACCAGATTCTTAACTTTATCAAGCTTAAGTCTTACATGGGGGAAATTTAAAAATTCACATTCTTGGAATTCGGCCCCTGAGCTTTCTGTTCTGAGACTCTGGGATGGAGCCCAGGAATTGGCACTGTACACAGTATTCTCAGGGGATTCTGATGCGGGTGGGAGGTAGCAAGTGCCACACTTTCAAAACCACTGGACTTCAGATGATCCGGTATTCAATATTCTAAAGGTTTATTTTGAAAAAGGGGTATCAGGTTCCTAGTGAACCTTCTGTACAAGAAGATGTGGGTCCATCCTGCCATCATAACCCATGTCTACAGATGCTCACGGGAGGTCGACTCCAGCAGAGGTCGGCCAGTCTGGGGGAAGCCTGGGGACAGAGCACCTGAGTTCAGTGCGTGTGGGGTTAGAGTACAGTGGGCAGCCCGACGCTTCTGTGTGAGGGAAAGAGAGAGGCAGGCAGAGGGAGGGAGGTAACTGTCACACTCACATGGGGAGACAACATGCTGCAAAACTTAGAACTGCCTTTGCTTTCTGAAGGAAATCAACTCAGGGATCACCTAAATGATGGCATCCTTCAGCGGCAAGCACCAGGAATCCTGTGGGCTCCCAGGGACAGCTGGGACTCCCCACCCTCGTTGCCCCCCAAAATGCCTCCTGAAGAGTCAGCCTCCACACAAGGAAGTGGCCTGGGGGTGAGGGGGACGGTGAGGGGGAGGAGCTGTGCTGTCCGTTTGGGTGCCATTCAAAATTTTAGAGCTAGCGTGTATTCCCTCTCGTTAACAAAGAAGACAAAGACAAACATTCATTGCATTGCTTCCTTTCCATTCTGCTGAGGACAGAAGCGCACTAAAGGGGCAGACATGAAATGAAAGCCTGGTGTCCGAGGAGCAGCTGGGCAAGGGCCTCACTGCACCCCCACCCCCGCGGCCTCGGGGGGCCCCCACCAGTGAAACGTGGTCAGGTAGCCCCATCGTCGGCATGTGACTTGCCTGCGGACTTTGTTAAAACACGGACCTGACTCAGTAGGCAGTTGGCAGGTGAGGGGGGCAGAGGTTCTGCATTTCTAACAAGTGTTCAGATGATGAACCAACTCTAAATAGCAAGCCTCTACTGTATGTGAAGAAACACTAGTCCACACCCTGTGAGAGATGTTTTTGAGACATCTGAACATTGGGATATTCATATAAAGGTCTGGATTACCAGGTCCTCTTGTGAAATTTTGAGCAGTGGCCATACAGGGCTGGCACCCCCACGTGGCGACAACAGGCTGGAGCCGAGGAGCGGCTGCCCTAGGAGGGACCTGTGTTCCCCAGCTGCCCCCCACAGGCATTTCGGCTTGGAGTCCTCCAGCCAGATTCCTGAGGGTCCATATGGATGGCTAGCTGCAGACCCCGAGCGAAGCTTTTTGCTCAGGTTATCTGGGATGTTCTGCAGCATTCAGACTCCAGCCTCTGGCGGTTGGACCCCTCAGTCTCTCTCCATAGGAGAGAGCAGGAATCAACCTCGCCACCTAAGCTCACTCGCTGTGCACTGGGATTGGAAGGGGGGAACGCGGGAGCCAGTACTCAGAGCCCGGAGGAAAGACCATTGTCACCGATCGCTGTACGACACAGCCAGGGGCCAAATACAGAAATGAAACCATCTGAAGTCCACGTGGACGGTCAAGGAGAACAACAGAATGTGTCTCTCGTTACTCATTCAGATCGTTTATTAAGAGCGAAAGTCGGGCCGTCCCATCTGTGTGATATTGCAACATGAGAAGTCACATACATACTAAGGAGACCCCACAGAATTGAGAGCCTTTCAACAGTACAGAGCCATAGATTACAAAATTAAAATACAAATGATCCTCCGAATTTGGCAGGAAACAAGTACAATATGAGGAGGCCTGGAATGGAAGGGCACTTGCTTTTTGATAAGGCAGTTACAAAATGGAACACAAACCCACACGGCGAAAACATTCCAATGGGCATCACAGACAGCAGACACGTACAGAAGGGGTCCCGCACAACCCTCCGTCCCGGGCGATGAGGTGCTCGTGGAGTGAGAGCAACCAAAGGCTTCGTGGTTTAGGACACAAGCTAGATGAAATAACAGCGTGTAGACATTTCTACCTTAAGAAGAGGTCCCACCGGGCCCCAGACTAGACTCCACCTCAAAATGTCAGATCAACTTTACCCTTCCTCACCTTGAACTTGGAAACAGTCTGTAATAAAATGAAGGGAATAAAAAGGCACCCCAAAGCACCATGCTTCCTGGACCATGACCTCGAGTTCACCTGTCCTTCGGTTCAACTGTCAAGCCCAGTACGGGGACTGGGAGGCCGCGAATCACGGGGCCTCAGAGTGGTGTCTGTCGGACTCAGGGCCAACCGAATGACACAAGCCCAAAGGACCACCTGAAAGGCAGAAGTCTGACCAAGAGATCTCAGAGCAAGCCCATTTCGTGAGAATTTCGATTCTAGGACAACACTACACCTCCCGCCAGGACTTCTGAACTCTGGTCTTAAATCATCAGCTAGTTCTATTCTCCCCTCACGTTCACTTGGCAAAACTCAACTGCTTTCCTGATCGTGTCACACAGCCTTGAGTCCAGCAGGTTGGTTCACAGCCCCTGGGAGCCAGGCTGGCCTTGGGGACCTCTCTGCTCAGTGGCAAGGTCTCAAATATCTGAAGGCACCTTACTCTGGACAGGACTCGAGTCATGTGCAAGTCAGAGTGAGAAGAGCTCTGGACAGGTCAGGAGGACAGGAGGTTAGTCCAGACAGTGCCCTGTGACTCAGACAGGTCGTTCTCAATGTCAGTTTCCTGTCTTCAAAACCAATGATGGGGCAAGAGTAACCTTACAAGACTTTCCAGCTTGAAAATATGGCACTTCTTAGACACAGAGACATGTGATGCGCCCCTCCCCCAAGGTCCTAAGCTTTGTTTTCTCCATAAAAACAATGTGTGAAGTACTTGCAGAAATCTTAAGGTACAAGCTCTCAGCAGCCATGGAGCCCTTAAACTCCACACAGAGCAGTATTTTACAATTTCCTAGCTAAAACTTTTCCTAAGTGACGTGAGCATCAGTTTTTGTGGGGCAAGCACAGAACTAGGGCCCCATCCCTTCTTAGGTTATTTTTTTAATCAGGCTGATAGCATCCCCTCCTCCCTGACCCCCTCCATCAGCTTCCGCAAGAACACGGGAGGAGAACCAGGCTGATGGGGTTTCCACAACATCCTTCAACAAGGAACTAAGTGGACCCATGCTAAAGGGGAAAGACAGCCAGGACACCAAAATATCCATCTGCTAGCTGCTCCTTTCAAAAAGACAACTGCCGTGCCCTGGGACAGTGCAGCAATGAGGGTCCTTGGCCACGATGAACAACTTGTTCCACACGGCCCCTGCTGGGCAGAGACTAAGGTGGAAATGACAGAGAACACAGAAAAGCCAGAGGTTTATAGAGATGGAGCAGGCTTCCCCAGGAGGTAGTGAGTTCCCTGACCTCAAAGGTGTTTAAGCCCAGACTGCTCAAACCCTTGGTGGGACAGTTGTAGGCAGAATGTCAGCACCTGTGGGGAGACTGGACTGATGACTTAAAGACCCTTTCCCAACTTTTGGATCTCACCATTCTAACAACCGAGAGCCTTCAGGTGACTTCCATGAAGCAACTTCTCTGGGATCCATGGTCTGGATAGCCTATTTCAACAGACAAGACCTCCCGAGTAAGTACCCTCTCCTACTTTCTCCCTTTCACCAGGCAGTTAGTTGTCCTGCAGGATATTAACCAAAAAGTTCCCACAAAATAAGCAGCTGAAATGCCAAGGTTAGATGCAACGTTCCAGCTGCAAACAATTATTAATATCTGTTCTCTGGAAGCCTAGCAGTGAATATTTAGCTATGACAGGAACTTCTAACAACTTGGTGGCTCTAACACATAAGTGAAATTCCTTGTCATTTTACAATGCCAATCCTGAAGCCTTTGGTTTCAATCTTTCATGGGATTCGGCTATGAGCTTTTTCACGTGATGTTGCCAACCTAAGAGTTTGTTGAAATAAGAAGTTTGTCCATTTGTTTTTTTAAAACCCTAAATCGAAGCAACACGAGTGGCAGGATACTGGCATTTCCACGTGACAACCTTCAGGGTATATGAAAGAACCATACCAAGCCGGACCGAGGCAGGAACCATACTCTTTAAGAAGACAAGGTCAGCTCTGGATTTCACATTCCAGTTTTGCCCAGGAGCACCAAGAGGAGAGAAGGCAATGTTGCAACATTATAGGTGGAGAGAAGCGCAAGAGTCCTTGGCAGGTGTATAAAAATGTAGGCAGCCAAGATGAACACTGCTTTCCCCAAACTCCACTGCTTCGGAGCCATTTCTAACAGGCAGAAGTCTCCTGCCCACAGATGAAGCCTTGGGAAACTGCCGAAGAGGCTAAGGCAAGTGGCTTAGTGGTTTGATGAAAGAACAGATTTCTGCACACAAGAAAATCGTAAGTTCATATAGCTTTGTCTTTTCTCTCATCTGACATGTTTTCAAAGGTTGAAAAGATACCCACAGCCTCCATTTTCCAAAAGCACCTCTCTTTTGAGGGAAGGTGGCAGGGTGGACTCAGGTGCGCAGAGCATCTGGCTGAAGGTGAGCGTTTCCCCAGGCTTCACGCTGGAACAAAAATATTCTTACAGAGACACAGGAACAGATGGATCCCAACACCACAGCTTCTTGTACAGAAATGTACTGTTGTCTCCCTCAACTGGGAAATAGATTTGCTGTTAAAGAAATAGTGACATGACCTACACATCGGCGATTTTCACTTCAACATCAGAAAGATACATTTTCTCAGTAAGAGATGGACATTTCCAGAGAGCAGGTTACCAATGCCTTCACCTGTAGGCGCCATCTGCCCCCCAAACTGTGGCCTGATGAGAAAACACTCCCCTTGACAAAGGGGGCCTGGTGTTTGATGCCTTCAAGACTTTCTAACTCAGTCTCTCAGGAGAAAAACCTACATAAGCAACAGAACTTTGAGCCTTCTTGACGTCTGCACATCGACATCCTTCAGCTATAAGCAGTGAGACAGTCTCTACATACTGAATCTGAATGACTAAAAACACTCAGAGAGCACCTTGATGTGCCATCCACAGCTGGGTGTATTAAAATAAGATCGCCTCATAGTCTAGAATATGTTCTATGCACATTCATTTATACATATTTAAAAAGGCTGCAATCTGCTAGACATGCATTTTGAACACTGGTGAACGCTTTGCTGCAACGGAACACACTGCATTTTAGTGAGGGGGTGGCCAGTCCCCAATCCACAGACAGCATGGTCCTCTGCCCCACAGAACCCAGCCTTTAGACACTGCACCGCCCTGCTTAGCGGGGGTTGTGTTCGGACTTCTCTGTGCTGATGCTCAGAGTAAGCCATCTATGAGACATTAAAATTCTCTGCCGGGCTAGGCCATCCACGGCTCCTTTTAAATTTAAGGCTTAAGAAAGCACTCACAATTAAAACTGAGTAAGAAAATGATACTTTTGACCGCAATATGTGTCAAGATGGTCAGAAATTAGAATCCAAGTCCTTTTCTCTTTTGTTCCATCCCCTATTCACATCCTTTGTCCCCTAACACACTGATTAGAAACTTTTGCAAAAGCATACTTTTGGATATAAAGCTTTGTTTTCAAAGGAGACTTTGGCTCTGATATAGTAAGATACAGGAATCTGAGTTTTTGAACTTTAAAAAAAAAATCAGGTAGTTATTCATACTTAAAAAAATTGTTTTAGCAATCTCCGCCCCCCGCCCCCAGAGGGAGGCAAACTGCTCACAAAAATGAGTATCAGATGGCACTGACCTTTGTTGCTCAAACCCATGATTTGCTGGTGACCCCAAGCCCAGGGAGTCATGGCCAGTCAGACTTTTTGTCCCAGAATTGGACTTCGGAGCAGGCATCACATGATCCTTGGCAGCTTTCTTGGTGGCTGTGAACTAAGGATTAGTATTTCTGAAAACACGAGCCCCAAATCACTAAATATCTCCATTTATCGAAGCATTTATGGCCTAGGAGGATGACTGAAGTCAAACTTTATAATTTCACCCCAAAGAGTAAAGCACAGAGTGATGTGCAAAGAGCTGCATCTCCTGCGAGGGCCCCTGCCTCAGTGTTTCTGGAACCTCCGCCAATATAGGTTGGTGCCTGCGACTGCCCTCAAATCCTCTTCTGATGAGAAACCTCCTGTTGGTGCATCAGGATTTCCTCCACATTCTAGAAGTTAAGTGGTGAGCCACAGAAATGGCAGAGGTCTCATTAACTAGAGGTGTGAAGCGGATGCTACCAGGCTGGCAGTCGGCCACCCATACTGACTGACTGCTTACTGTGTGCCGGGCAGCGGCCAGTGAGCGGGGACCACTGTCAAACCGATTTGCTGATCAACGACACAGCCAGCAACAAAGCGGGGCATGACTGTGCCCACCAGACTGGGGTCTACTTGCGCTTCTCCGGCTAGCTGCACCCCACTGCTCTTCCAGGCCTATACCTCACACAAGGCAGCGTGGTCGTACAAGGTGAGTACCAGGATATTTTTTATCCCACATTTCCAGTAGAATTGACTTAATGCGTTGTTGAATGCTGCAATACATCATTTTTAAATCTCTCAGTGGTCTTGTTTTTTCAGTCCCGTAGTTGCCTTAAAAGAAAGTCTTTGTATGCACATGCTGAACATGAGAATATAATCCTCCTGACCAAAAAGATTTACAGTATTCATCATTCAAACTTTTTTATTTACAATAAAATTGAACAGTCTTTACGGGCTTACACGTAGCAGATTTCACCTGTGCATTCAGCATTATACTTCATTCCTTGATGTACTTGATCCTCACTCAAGCTGTTTGCCGCCCTCCGATTTCTGGTCCAGTCGACTCTTGTTACTCTTCACCATGTAAATGAAGTAGGCGAGCGTCTCTTTTTCATTCACAGGTATGTTCCTGAAGTGTCGGCTGACAGTCTGCATGGGGGAAAACACCAGAGTCTGTTAAAGCATCGTATACATCAGGGCCACAAATTCTGAACTGTGCAAAAGAAGGAGCAGGGGTTAGCTTCCAGAGCCTGGGAGGGGGTTATGATCCCTGCAGAACTCAGACGCCCTTCTCTCCTAGGCGGCTGGGTGACTTGGTTTCAAGGCCTCCAAAAGCAGCACTTGAACCTACAACATTCCCAAGGTGCAGTTCTATTTCAGTGGCAGCTAACTGTCCATCATGGCATAATCTCAAGGGCACCCCCAAGGAGGAATAGGTGGGGACGGCTCTGCTTGGCTAGCTGCTACCATCACCAGCTCTCAGGCCCTGGCATCACCGGGCAGAAAAGCGTCTTTTTAAAACTGTGTCAAATGAATAGCCAGTTGGACAGATGTTAAGTGTTTGACCCAAGAATTCATCTAAATAGTACATAGCTGCCTCTTGAAAAACACATCACATTTGAAAAAGAATTCGTCATTTACTGTGTACTCCTGACACTTGGCTTTGTTTTACAAGTCCTGAGAATGCAGGTCTGCCCTTGCCCCACCTCATCCCATCCCTTTCAGCAGGGGAATGCTGCCAAATGGGTAATGTGACCTTAAAGTAGAAAAGAGTTGTGCACTTCTATCTGTTTTATCTAGATGCTGGGGAATGAAGTTTAAGAAAAAATGATGGATCAGCAAGAAACCCCTAAAGGAAAGACCAAAAACCAATGGGGCTGTCAAACTTTAAGGAAATCTCTGAATGGGTTGAGGGGGCTAGGACAGATCAAAAGAGTCCGAGAACTAGCACTATAGAGTGGTGACCTCTGGATGGTAGCATTCTATTTTTCTTTTTTTCCATCTTCCACATTTTCAACAATAGGCAGAAAAGCACACTGAGAAAAGAGGGATGAGAGGAAACTTGCACAAATGCCAACAGGACAGAAGTATCAAGCCAGGCTGTCAGTAGGTTCAAATAAGGGCCAATAGAGCATTTCTCCCCCTCCAAATTTTACTAAGAGCTCAGGGTAAGAGAAAAATTTCTTGGGTTCTATTCATTATAATAAATACTTCCATTACCAACATCAGAGAAGAAATCAAAGGAAAAACTAAAGAAAAAGAATAGCTCCCACAGAATATGAGCAAAGGTTTTGGGGTGATTAATCTGACACACTGGATGTGCAGGAAGGACCATATTTATATGGAATCTTACAAAACAAGATTCAAACAAATGCACAAACAAAAGCACACTCAGGACTTATAATCAGGAGTCTGGAGATTCAAGGCTCAGTTCTACTACTAATTTGCTGTGTGATTTTCAGCAAGTCTTTTCCTCTCTCGGTGCCATGGTTTCTTTTATAGAAAGAGGGCCTTTCCAGGTCTTAGAGCTGTGGGATTCTAGATTGTACGAGAGAGGGAACAGGAAGTTACTTGCAGAGCTAGGAAGTTACTTGCAGGGCATTATGATCAACAGACACATGTAGCAGCAGGGAGAACCAAGGTCACCATCAGAAGCACAACGCTGGCTCTCTCTTTTTGCAGTGCAATTTGTCTACCTACTTCTGCTAACTGGGCCTTATTGAAGCCTGGTCTGGTCTGCAATTTGTAGTGTCGTTTATAACGCCGTAGAGTGTTCACCTGCAGCTGGAACAGATCAACCTGGAGAGAAGAGGAGAAACACATTATCCATCACCTGACTAGCCACAGCTCACTGAGAGCACACTACGTGCCCAGCACTACACTAGGAGGGGTGGGGGGAGGGGGGAAGAGGACTACAGAGATGTCTTAGAAATGGTCCACTGAGGACTAATAACTGGCTGGGAGGACCAAAAAAAAAAAAAAATCAAAAACCGAACAAAACAGTGGAAAAAGAGTTCTAGCTGGGGAGGGGTGGTCCCAGGAGGCTCACAGAGGCGGTGAAACTTATAGCTAAGGAGAGCAGGGCTTAGAGAGGCAGCGGGTAACAGGACTAGACTAGGGAATGAGAGAGAAGACCATGAACGCAGAAAGCCAGGAGATGAAGCGACAGACTCGGGCGTCATAGGCAATCACGATGGGTTTAAAAGGTGAGACTGGAGGGTAACATGTCTTGAAAAGCAGAAGGAGTGACCATAGGTGGTAGGGGGTGATGTTCAGGAAGACGGATCTAGTGGTGGTTTGTAGGGAAGATTGATGGGGGGTGCAGGCGACCGTGCTGAGCAGTGATCGGAAATGAGATGCTCAAGTGGAGCTTTGGAAGCTGGTGATACCAGAGGGGGACACCAAGTATGGGGAGCAAAGGTAAACCCAGAGAGGCATCCTGGAGGAAGACAGGCTTGAGCTTGGTAGCAGATCAGATGGAGGGGCGTGAGATAGGACAGCGGGAGGTACTGCTGTTCCCAGAGTTCTTCCCTAGGCTCAGCCTTCAGGTATCAGAACCCTGAACAACTCTCCAGAGAAAACTCGAAAGCTACTGTGGCGAATGTACAAATCAGCAGGTTAGGTTGGGGTCTCTGCAAATGACTGGATAACAGAGGGAAAGGACCCCCCCTTTTTTTCTAACACAGGAAGAGAGGAAAGCTGCACAGTCATTAAGTATTGAAGGCCCAGAAAGTTGGGCTGCTTTTACCTGCCTCTAAAAGAGATGTTCTTGCTTCAGGCAGGTGGAGAGCACTTAAAAACAAAATGAATGATCAATATGAGGGACCAAAGTCCTTCATTCTTTTCAAAACATTCCTCAAACCCCCTTTTTTTTTTTTTTTGTAAAAAGCACTGAAATTGAATACATCCATTTCTTTATGAAATAATAATACCAATGCTGAAGGCAATAGAAAAATATTGTAAACCAATGCTAGAAAAAGGGATACAGGGAGGGGCAGAGGGAAAGGACCATATTTTCAAAGGCTTTCTCCACATCTGCAGACAAAGGCCCGCCTACTCTTTCTATTCCTACGCAGTCATTTCCACTCTGAGTGCTAACAGGCGGTTGCCTTATGAAATATTCACGTGTCAAAAAGTCAGTGTACATTACAAACGGGTTTTCTTCTGCTGAGTCTGAAGTGAAAACAACTTAGAAAAAAATCCAATACTCCTTTCTGTAGCCTTGCTCGGCAGGCACCAGCACCCTGAAGGTTCAAGAAGCCTAGGTCTCATCGTCCAGAGCAACGGGCCTCGGCAAGGGTTGGTTTTGCCCCCAGAGGACATCCTCTAATGTCTGCAGGCACTCTTTGATGGTCACTACTTTGGTGACTGGCATCTAATGGGCAGAATCCAGGGATGCTGCTAAACATCCAGTGATGCACAGGACAGCTCCCACGACAAAGACTTCTCTGGCCCCGCATATCAACAGAGTCAGGGCTGAGAAACCCTGGGCCCTTATAACTGACTTTGGAATGGCTCCTGGGGAACCAGAGCTGGGGAACCAGGGACCAGAGTTGATATGAACTGACAATGTACACCTTCATTTTGCAGATCAGAAAACAGAGGGCCAGTAACTTCCCCCAAACCATACAAGCTCAGTCTCCAACTCTAAAGCCAAAAAGAGGTTTTAAAAAACTTGACGTCGTGGTTATATTCAAGAAGCTATCAGGGGCTTCCTGAGGAAAGACAGTATGGCCTAGTGGAAAGGGCAGTGGCCCAGATGCCCCGAACTGTGTGTGTGACCTCGGGTCTCTATGCCTGTCTGTAGAACGAGGGGGCAGTGAGACCAGCTGATTTCTAAGTTCTCAGCTCTCAGATTCGGTATTACCATGATTCTATGATTCACTTTTCAGATAAACCACAGCAAAACAAAGAGGACTAAAATTATTTCTTAATCCAAAAAGCGGACCAGGCCAGAGATAAAGATCACATTAGAATCCATTCTTTCTCAGGCGGACTTCTTGGACTTTTACCTCAGGAATGTCAGTATCATGCTCAGGAGAATCTCCGCCATCATCACTTGTCTTCCTCTTCCTTTTGTTTCGTACGCTCTGGATGAAATTTTTGTGGAAGTCGCAGATATACAGGTGTCTTACCTGATGGGAAGCAAATTAAAGTGAGACTCGCCAATTCCATGGGAACAGCAACAGGTATCTATCGAATTATGGGGCTTCTCTTCTTTGCAAGGCATTGAAGAGACAGAAGGAAGAACAACATAGAGGCCCTAATTTCCAGAAGTCTACTGTTGAGTTGTAGAACAAGAAGCCGACAAAGGGACACAAACACTACCAACACACTGGGCAACAGCTTATAAACTAAGTTCCCCCTGAAGGCTGGAGATAATAAATGGTAGGGGTTCAGCCAAGGAAGAGAGGCCCGTGGCTGGGATAGTCAGTGTAGAGGTCCCTGACTAAACAGGAGGATTTATGGGTAGACAAGAAGCATTCCAGATGGGAAGACGAGCCAAGACTTAAGAGTTTCAAATATGGGTGACCAAGAGATTCAGGGGTGGGGGCACGAGAACAGCTTAGACTTTCCTTCAGACTAGACAGTCCCCCAAGGTTTTTGAAGCAGAGAGTGATGTGACTTACAGGAGTTATGAATTTACAATGGGATGGAAGGCATTGTCCCAGGAAAGAGGAAAGAAGGGACTGTGGTAATGGTAGACAGGACTTCCTATTTTTACATTGACAACAGCTCCTACTGTAGGACGACATCTGAAAAACTTTATTCCTGTGTATCAGAATAATACTTCTTGCATCACCACACATCTGGTCCACAAAGAGAAGTGGGAAGAGATGCAGAAAGGCTCTTTCTCCCAGAAACCACACGAAAGAAGCTGGATGCTACTGCCGACTTCCTAGCGCGGGCTGGGGGCATAACAGCTGAGAGGTAAACATGTTTTTATTCAAGAATGTAAGTACCAGGGGCGTCTGGGGAGCCACTCAAAACCCTAACAGAAACAAAGTGCCTCTGTCAATGACTTGGGGGTCTTGACACTGGAACAGATGGACACAAATGTTCTTGAGAGACTTCTGAATTTGAATTTATTCCTTCAATTCTTAAAGACAAAAGTAAGCGGATAGGAAGCCAGCATCAATTAATTCAGACCTTTGCATGGAGAAAATAATGAAAACTGCTTTTTAGTCCGATGAAGCAGCACTTTCACGGGGTTGGACTGGTGAGTCTGGAGCACTTTTCAGTTTATACCGTGGCCGTGTCTTGCGCACGGCAGGCATTCTCTAAGCGCACTGGAACTGGCACATGCGGTCCCTCCTGAGAGCAGCCTCGGCCAGCAAAAGCCACCGTTTACATATGGTCGCATATTCGAGAAGCCTTGCCGGCACCCACTCTGCCAAAGGACTTTGGGACACAGCCTGTGTCACCGTCCCAACGAATCCCTCCTAGCTGATGTACAGTCCACCGGACATGCTGTTACTGGGGAAGAAAGCATACTACCCCTCCCCGATGGGAAGCTGGCCCTCCCGTTAGCTAGTTCCACGTGCAAACTCTGAGATGAAGCAGCTCCTCAAATTCATAGAGGGACACACTTGGTAGGAGAACAGGCAGAAGAGGTGATGTCCTGAAGCTGTGGCTGGGAGGTTTCAGGTCAGGACACTAGAATAATGGAATTCTGGATGGAAGAGAACTTAGCAATCACCAGTGTAACCCCACTGGCCCCAATCTCATTTTCTACGGAGATAAACGGAAGCCACACAGATGGGGTTATGATCTGGTCAAGGTCACACAGGCCTTCTGACCCCCTGTGCATGTCCTTTCCTACCCCAGCATTTTCTTTATACTGTTTTCAACTTCCACTTTTCTCCAGAATAAAGCAGAAATATGTCAATTGGAGGAATGTTTGAAAGCATGTTATATATTAATAACTCATAGCGCACGGCCAATGTCTACATGAAATGAGTTTAAGCTGCCTGAGTTGGATTTCTGGTGTTATTATTTAAAACGTTTCTCTGCTAGGCCCTTTTACAAGATAAATAGTCATTATTTCTCCTTAACCATTTTCAAGTACGTGCTGGTGTTCAGAAATTTCAGAGCTCGGTGGCCTTTGGGGGCTAGAGGTGGAGGAAGAAGGATGGTAGCAAAGGTTCCAGGGTTTTTCTTTTCTGTTTTAACTTTCTGCAACAGCTACAAATTCCTGTAACACGGCAGTTACTTAGAATTGAATTCCCGCCCAAGCCTGTGAGAATGAGGTAGAATCCCCTTCAGAAATAATGATTCTGCGCCACCACCTTGAAACATCTTGAGAGTGATCCCCCCGTGAGACACTACTCCTCCAGAAGCACTACGTCTGGGGAACTCCAGGGCCAGGCTCACGCGGCCTCTCTTGTAGACAGTGCGTGTGAAAGCACCAACACAGTTCAACACCGGTTCCCCAGCGGGGTCACCAGGTAAATGGTGCCCCAGTGGCAGCAACACAATTGTTCACATGTCATGGCATCCAAGGCTTTAACAGAACTGGAAATTCCTTCCCTCCTTCCTCTTTTTTTTTTTAAGGACAGGAAAATATAAGCTGCTCAAGTAAAGGCTCCCAACCACCTACACAAAAGGTAGGCAGTGTTTCCAAGAGGATGAATTCACTGCTGTGTTAGAATTAGGCATTTCACTTCAACACGTGTCCTAAACTGGACCTTAGTGTCTAGCCAATTGTTTGCTCTCTGATGAATTCCTTTCATTCATTCATTGATAGAGATTTGTAGTAAGAAAGCCATTAACTCACCCCCAGCCATTTTAAAAAACAGCATCTTTCAAGAGTGGCAAAGGTACTGCAATTGTTAACGTAAATAAATAAATAAATAAATTGGGGGTGGGAGGGAAGAGCCTGGAAGAGGTGGGAAGATTTTTTATTTATTAGCACTTCATCAAGGCTTATGCATGGGGCTTGGAAGTAAGTCAGATAATGGGTTTAAGAAATTAACCAGCCTCTTAGTCACTGTGTGACTTTGGCTCTGTCATTTCTTATCTCTGGGCCTCAGTTTCAACTGTAAGATCCGAAGTAGAAAGGTGCGTGTCCTTTCAGTTTAACAAGCAATCTCTAATTTCCTCCAACAGTGTAATTTTGGTCCTAAAACAGAATGGATGTTAACCACCTGAGCTTTTAGCAGGTCTACCTGAATACTAAATACCCCCTTAACTCATTTCCAATTCCTAATCACAAGGCAGCCACTTAAGGCTTGCAGCAACAGATGTCAAACTAAAAAGTTCTTAATTGGTTGACAATAGGCACATCTTTAGAATTGTTAACTAGAAGTGGTGAAATCATACAGGAAAAGTTTTACTATAATTAGGCACAAAACACAGGGCTATTCTATTCAAATTTAAAGCCCCCTCCCTAACGCCCTTCTACAGAAGCTACCCCTAAGAAAATTGATTTTCTTCCTCCCCCTCACCTGGGCTGCAAAGAGCCTCCTCCCGAGACCTGGCCTTGGCCTTATTTCTGCCACATCCTTCAAAATCCCACTTCCCCACAGCTGCATGCCAAGCAGCGAGCTCGGTGACCCTCTGCAGAAGCCGAGGCCGCGGCAGGGGTGGTGGGGGGTGGGTGGGAGTGGGAAGTAACTGCCACCTTTCCTTTTCTGAAGGAATAACAGGGTTCCGAGAAGGAGACAGAAGTTGAAGAAGAGCCGGGTCCCTTCATCACCCTCTCCCCAACACTTGCTTCTTTGCCAACAGAATCAACCCAGGTCTCCAGGCCCCAATATCTAAACCAATACAACAAGCCCTAAACTGTTGTCAAATCTTCCCAGGCAGGAAAGGTCCTCGGTAGCCCCCCTCCCCCCGCCCCCAACCTCCCGGATTTGGGCAGAATCCCAGTCCGAGCCTGCCTGCGCTGAAGCGGCCTTTGAAATCCCGAGTGCAACTCCCCAGTTTGCAGATAAAGGGCGGCGAGGCCCAGGGCGGGGAGGGCCCCGGGGTCCGGCCCGCAGCCGGGGACAGCGGCCGGAGGGCGGCGGCGCGCGGGGACCCAAACGGGGGCAGGGGAAGGGGAAGGGGCAGGGGCGGGGGCGGACTCACGCTCTTGTCGATGTCCAGCTTGAGTTTCTTCTGCGAGATGCTCTTCTGGACCCTCTTGCTGAAGGAGGCGTTGCCCGCGGGCCGGACGCAGCGCTCGCCGTCCTCGATGAGGCAGCAGCTCTGGCCGTAGCCCGGGGCGGCGGCGGGGGCGGCGGGGGGCCCTTCGCGGCTGTCCTCCTCCGTGCTAAAGCCGTTCATCTCCCCGCCCCGGGCCGGCCCCTCTGCGGGAGGGTCCCCTGTAGGCCACTCCGCGGCCGCGCGCCCCGCGGGGCAGGTCGCCGAGGCCCCCGCACCCGAGGGTCCCGGAGTCCGTCCCCAGACCAGGCGCTGCCCTGCCCCGCGCCCGGGAGGCCCGGCTCCGCTCCGCCGCGCTCCGGCTCCTTCGGCCCCCGGCCCCGCGCCTCTGGAAAGCCCCTTCCTCCCCGCTCGAGGCCCCGGAGTCGACTCCCGCGGCTCGCAGGGCCCCACCGGGGGTCACCCGGAGGCGCCTTCTGCCGGGGGCCCAGAACCGTTACCCTTCGGCGGGGGCGTCCGGGAGGGCGTCCCAGGAAGCAGCCGCTCCCCGGGGACTCCGGGCCCGGCTTGCCAGGGGGTTTCGAGGGCCCCCGCCGGCTCCCGCCTTCTTTCGGCTGCGGGGCAAACTCGCCGCCGGGCAGCTCTCCCGGGGTGGCGCGGCCTCCCCGCGCGGGGCCCGGCCTCGAACCCGCGGCGCCCGGGCCCGGGGGCGCGTCCGGCTCGCCCCACCCCTGCAGCCGCTCGGCTGCGCCCCGAGTCCCGCGGCAGCCCCTGGGCCGCCCGGCCGCCGCCCGCCCAACGCTCCGCACCACAACAGTTCGCTCCCCCGCCCTCCGCGGGACAGCGGAAGTCCCGCCTCCGCACGGCCATTGGCCGCGTTCGCTCTCTGGGCGGGGCCTCTGCCGCCGCTGGCGTGCCCCATTGGGCGCCTCCGCCGCCAGTCCCTGGCGCCTGGCTACTTCCTGGACTCTGCTGGGATGGGTTCAAAGTAGAGAAAGTGGAAGAGGGAAGAGTTACCCGGTTGCGGGCGGGGAACGGGGCCGCGCACTCTTCAGGCCCGGGGAGGGTTGGTGAGCAGGGGCCTGGCTGGACCGAGGGCCAGACTCCGGGAACAGAGGAGCCCATTCGGGGGCGTACAGAAGTACAGACGTGGGCAGGGGTGCGGAGGGACAAACATAGGGAGGGGCATTTGAGGGGGGACCTTTCGGGGATAGAGGTTCTGTCACGAGAAGGACAGACAGGGTAAAACCGAAGAACCAGGGCCAGAGGACCCGCAGACCGGTGGGAGGTAGGGTGGTTGAAATAGGACAGAAAGCCAGACATGGCGGGAAAGACTGAGGGACAACCCGGTACAGATACGTGGAAAGACGTGCAGAGGAGATGATGAGGGTCTGATGGCGGGTATTGCAAGGTAGTCGGATGCTTGAGGGTGGCGGAGACCTCAGACTGTGGAGACTGGGACTGGCTTGGTCCGCGCGGAAAGAGAAGGAGAGGGAGGAAGAAGACCCCTGGGGGCTTGGGTGACCCCTCGGCTGGGAAGAATCGGAAGTCAGTATAAGGTCTGGAGGGTGGACTCGGTGAACCGCGGGGAAGAGGAGAGGCTGCGGAGGACGCGGAGAAAAGGTTGGGGGTGGAGGATCGAGGGCCAAACTCGGCATGGGGAAGGGCTTGCGTGTCTTGAGCCCTCCCTGGATCTCTGTAAGCTGTAGCTTCTGTTGCTTTAAGCCTCCCGGTCTATCTGCGAGGTGACCTACCAACTCCCTGAGCTTGGGGTTCGGCGCCACGGCATCACACACACACATCTAGAAAGGCCTTAGGGAAATCTTCTAGTCTGGCACCCCTAGTCAGGCCACCGCTGGGTAGCTTGGTGATAAATGAGAGCCTTTGGCCCGTAGGGACTAGCCCAGGGTCATTCTGTCATGCAGTCAGTCATTTAGGGTTGGGTAGCATTGACGGGGGTAGGGGCTTGGGGGTAGGGTGGGGTGGGGAGGGGGCGCAGAGTGGGGGGGAATGTTAGGTGTGCACGTGTACCTATTTTGGTAGTACTAGCTGGCTTGGCATTGAAGAGGCTTCTGGTTTGTGTCCTGATGAAAAAGGGAAAGCTACCAGTTCCCATGTTTAGAAGAAGATGCCCTGTGATCTTAAATTTTCTTCAGTGACCTTAAACGTATTTGTACCCTCTAGCCTAGTAATTTCACATGTGGGACAGCCATTTCAGGAAATTGGCCTACCAGAGAAAATATTAAACAATGATGTTCATTGTAGGATTATTTATAATAGAAAAAGAACCTCAAGTTCCACCAGAGAAGTGGTTAAGTAAACATCTTCAGAATGAGATATTTTGTGATGTTTTCCACATTTAAGGTAGTTTCAACGTCAATGTAAATTTTTTCTATATATAATATTCATCATTGGCTCTTCAACAAAGAATTGATGATGAGTTGGAGAATTGCTCTATTCATGTTAAGTTAAAAATGCAGGATATAAAATTGCATATGGGATATGATGTGTGTACATCTAAGTTAAAAAACAAAGGAAAAAGCAACTATTTGTGCATAAAATATACACTAAAGTACTAATAGTAATTATTCCTGGGTAGTTGGAAGAATGGCTGATATTTTTCTCCTTTTGGTCTCCTTTCATTTTCCCCAATAAGCATTTATTGCTTTTATAGTAGGCAAAATAGAATGAAAATAAATGGAAGAAAAGGCACAGTTTAATAGAATTCCTCATTCAGAGTTCATATATTCAGGATAAATTATTGAGCATATTATGTACATTCATTTCAGGGTTGGCCACAGGAGAAGGATAAAACCTTTGTCCTAAAAGAGAATATCTTCTAGTAGGGGAGCTCAGATACATAAGCAAAAAACAGTTGGGTATCTGTACAAGTCAGTGTGTGATGTAGGTTCCAAAGTTGACTGGTATGGATGAGAGCTCTACATTTCCCACATACATTTATTGCCCTTAGATATTTTTTTTCAAAACACCACTTGCATCCAGTGCCAGGCGACTACAATACACACAGCTTCCTTAGCTCCAGCTTCCCCTGACATTGCCCCTAGAGCAGGGGAGGAGGATGGATGCCTTTTCCTTGGGTGCTCTATCTCAGCCTTGGGGGTATTGGCTGCCCCTTATCTGCTATTCCTGTATTCTTTAGAGTTCTCTTTACTCTTTTACTACAGTCCCCTGTTATAATTAATAACTCTTCATATTAATTTTCCTCCGTTCAAATTGCTGTGTGGTTTCTCTTCTAATTGGACCCAGACTGATAACCTCAGCCTCTGTGTAATTTTTTGAGGGGGGGGCATATGCTTTTAACTGCCCTTTATGTACAATCCTATAGTCTTTCTTCCAGGAATATTTGATCATAAGTTCTCCCCCCATGTTATTATGTAGTTCAGTTCCAAATAGCAATATTTGGGAAAAAAATTCTGATTCCTTTGCTGGAGGAGTAAATCTGTATAATATTCATTATTTCCAGAAAGGAAATATAAATAAATATTCAGATAATGAAGAATACCGAGAGGAGCTTCTGTGATCCTTGCTTTGCTTTGTGTAGGATTTGAGATTCTTTGAAATGGCCAAGAGAATCTGCTTTGCTACATTTATAACTTCAGGTAATTAATTTACAACAGTGCTTAAGTGCTTAGAAAGATCTTGCTTTTTAGATTTGTAAGTCTGCCCTGTTGGGCATTTAAAGTGAGAAAATCAGGCATATTAAATTTGTAGTCTGAAATGTCTAAGGAAATTTGATTAATTAAAGCTGTAAGTCTGTTAAATGTTTAAGGAGGACTGAATGTACTAAACTTAAGAATTAATTCCAACAGTAATCAAAGACCAAGTGAAAGTGATTGTTCTTATCTTTACATGAAAAATCACTAGATTTATAATGTAGTAACAAGATTTGTAAATTGAACATAAAGCCTTTAACAAAAGCTAGGTTTTATAATGGGCAACTTGAGTCTGTAATTGTAACATTCTTTTCCATGCCCAAATCTACCTCCAGATATTTAAAATTGCGGGTAGATTACCCCCAACTTTACAGTTCTAGCTGAGGCCTCTCCTCTGAGCTGCGGAAAGCAGCATTCAGTTCTTTGCTTGGATGCTCCAGAGGCATCGCAGACCCAGATGTTCAAGTTAGAAACTTCTCTGATACCCGAATCCATTAACTGTGCCGCCTGTACCCCCTTGTTTCTCCCTTGCTTTCACCCCACTCAAAGCCCACCCATCATCGAGGCACCTTCTTCTCCTTCCAATGGATATTTAGATTCGGTCCCCTTTGCTTCATGCCCTATGGCCAGCAGCAGCGCCAGCCCAGGCCCCCATCATCTTGTGCCTACAGTGCATCACCGGCCTCTGAGCTGGTCCCTAAACCACTCTTTCCTGATGTGGCCTCCATACAAACCAGACCGTGCTCCACCCTTCTTAAGGCCCCTCACCAGGTTTCCAGTGCATTCTGACAGTGCCTGCTGCCATCTCTCGGCTCTGTTCCCATGCCTCAGCTCTGTTATTCTGCCTTAAGTTCCTCAAATAAGCCACACTCCTCCCTGCCCGAGGTCTTTGCGTTTGCAGTTCCCTCCACCTGGAATGCTGTTCTGCCTGCTCCTCCCCACCCACAGCAGGCTCCATCCTTCAAGACTTAGTTCATCTTTTTTTTTTTTTTTTTTTTAGAGAGAGGGAGAGAGATGGGGGAGGGACAGAGGGAAAGAGAGAGAGAGAGAAAGAGGGAATTTTAAGCAGGCTCAGTGCGGAGCCTGATGCGGGGCTTGATCTCATAACCCTGAGATCATGACCAGAGCTAAAATCAAGAGTCGGATGCTTAACCGACGGAGCCACTAAAGTGCCCCCTTTAAGTCCTAATTTAAATGTCACCTCTGCAGAGAGTCTTCCCTGATTAAAAGGATTTTTCCCCCATTGTCCATTGCTATTCTCCATTCAGTGTCTTTTCTTATTAGCACTCATCACAATGTGCAATTGTCCCTATTTCAATATAAGCTCCAAGAAGGCGAGGAGCATGTCTGTCCTGTTTGTTGTAGCTCCAGTGCATCTAACACTAATTCTCCAATTCTGGTGGCTAACAAGAGGAGGACTCAGTAAGCATTTTTTCAATAAATCACTTTATTTTTTTTAAAAAATATTTTGTTTATTTACTTGACAGAGAGAGCGAGCACAAGCAGGGGGAGTGGCAGAGGGAGAGGGAGAAGCAGACTCCCCGCTGAGCTGGGTGCCTGACACTGGGCTCCATCCCGGGACCCCGGGATCATGCCCCGAGCCGAAGGCAGATGCTTAACGGACTGAGCCACCCAGGGGCCCCAAGGACAGGCATTTAAATGGAATAGATGTAGCTTTATGAAAACCCCGCAACATTGCCCTTGTCTTCCTCATCTCGCTGAGGATCTATGAAAGCTTGCCCTGGCTCTGGCTCTGGTCTGCAGCCTGGCACTTGATAGGCATTGCTGTTGGCCAATGGTAGCTATTGGCGCCGTGGGTGAGAGCAAAGGCCCTGGCTGGAATTCCAGCTCTGCCACTTCACTGGCTGTAGGACCGTGGACAACATACATGAACTAGGTGAGTCTCCGTTTTCTTCGTCTGTAAAATGGGATGATAAAAGTACTTCTCTGATGGGGCGATTGTGAGGATCATATGTGATATTGTAAAGCACTTGGCACAGTGTCTCGCACACGGTAAATGTTCATCCATTACATGCTGACACCCCTAAACTTCCCATTGTACCAAGTTCAGATTTCTGCATGTTAGGGAAGGAGACATCATCTTGCAGGATGGCAAGTCGCTCAGTTTCCGCACAGGCAGTCTCCA